AAATGGTTCAAGGGACCTATTTATGCCCATGCACGTGACCCAGAGCTTCCTCTTTTGACGTGTGCATTCGGAACACCTGCCCACCTCTCCCTACTTTTAGGGCTTGCGCTTGACCTTGCTATGCCGTCGTGTGTCGTCTATCGTTGGGACAGGGGCACGGCAGGAATTTTCCCCACTTGGCTGATTGGCTGTTGCCATTTGGGTTTCGCCTGCCACATAGCAAATTGTCACAACTTGTAAGGTTGCGAATAGGCTCTGGTTCAGGTGATAGCGATGGGAGAACGCTCTCGCCATCCCTATGTGAAGGGTATTCTGTTAAAGGAATCCAGGGACTTGATGGTTTGGTCAGCCCCTGAGAGGGGGTTGTGCCCGTGCCTGAGTCCAGGGGGACATTTGGGTGGCGGAGATAGCCTGCTCCCGGCTTTCCGCTTATCCAGGTGTTCACCCTCGGCTGACCTATGCTGGAACCCTGGGTCAGCACTACCTCCATGGCAGGGAGCTAGTTGAACCAGAACCTATGAAACCATTCACTTTCTGTAATCAATAAAATTGTGGCCTAAATTCTGCCAAAAACAAACCAAAAATTTGAGTCAAGTGTGAATTTATTTGGGGGGGGGGAAGGTTTCTGGGTCTGAACATGCAAATTCTGGTTCGATTCCATCAAAATCTGGGTTAAGAATATAAACATGGAAGCTATTTCTTGATTATTTAAGAGAGAGAAAAGGCTGTTATAGAGAGCATTCAAGTGGTTCTATCAATAGAAGTAGACTTGTATTTTCCTTTTTTTTAATAGAAAAATCATATTAGTTTTAGCTATGCCCAAAAGAAAGGAAGAGAGAGAGAGAGAAAATAGGGAGATCTTAGTAAGATTGTCCTTTCCTTGCATACAGAGGAAAGGTCTCACTGAAGTAGATACTGAAGACCAAACTATACATGATGTAGGAGATCTGGGACTGGATTTCTCCCAAAATTGAACTGGGGAAAGGGCAATATACCTTTCTCCTGGCACTCCTCTCCCTATCCCAGAGGCAAGGAACTTCAGCCCACACTTTTCCCCAGCCTGGCAGCACACCTTCCTTGAACTATTATTGAATTGTGAGAATGCCTCTTGTCTGCGTAGAAGCAGGATGATGAAGTGTATACCTGTAAAAGCCGCTGAATTTTGCACAGCTGAAATGTGGCCTAGTTCTAAGTCGCATCCATTGCTTTGCCAACTTTTGCCCACAGCTCTATCCATCACTGGTAAGTTTGCCCTGGAGGGTTGTCCGTGAGGGAATGTGTGGCCCTGTGTTGGAAAAGTCCCTGCTCCAGCCCTATCAAATTCAGGGGACCTTGCAGCTGCTCTTCATAGAACAGGCACTTGAAGATCTGATTACAGATTCCCTGCATCAAGTTATTATATGAGGTACCAGGGCCATATCCTCCCATATATGCCTTCATTATTGAGTTATTAAGATCTACCAGGGATCTGAGTTGCATTGTGACATGGACAAGGACCTGTAACAAAATGTTGTGGTACATCCTCTCTCCTAAAAGGACTGCTCATTGTCTGCTGATTGTGAGGGGTTCCCCTTTGATTTTTGAAATGTTTTGTTTACTTCTGCAAACCTGGAACATAGTGATACCTCATTCATGCTTCTCAGTTGCCTCATTTTAGCTACAACCCTGTCAGCACAGAATCATAGGATCACTTAGTCCATGGCTAGGCAAACTAAGGCCCGGGGGCTGGATCCGGCTCAATCGCCTTCTAAATCCGGCCCACGGACGGTCCAGGAATCAGTGTGTTTTTACATGAGTGAAATGTGTCTTTTTATTTAAAATGCATCTCTGTGTTATTTGTGGGGCATAGGAATTTGTTCATTTTTTCCCTCCAAAATATAGTCTGGCCCCCCACAAGGTCTGAGGAACAGTGGACCGGCCCCCTGCTGAAAAAGTTTGCTGACCCCTGAGACTAGTCCAACTCCCTGCAATGCAAGAATAGACAGCTATCCCATATGGGGATCAAACTTGGAACCTTGATGTTATCAGCACCAAGATCTAACCAACTGAGCTATCCTGAATGTACCATGTGAGTTTGCTACTGGGAGGAACAACATCCAGCCTACATAACAAGTTGGGCAGGCTAGGAATCCAACGTCAAATACCAACACAATGGCAACCTGGACCCTTTTTATATCTTATGCTGAAACTCTTTGCCAACAGAAGTGTATTGCTCCTACATACAAATGTGTGTATTCCTAATCTGCTAGGGTTTACATAATTTACATATTCCTTTTTTTTCTACCCCAGTTTGCAGACTGAATTGACAATATTTGAATGCAGTCATTGTATATGTTTGTGCTGTACTATTTAGATGTATATTTTAATAGTATGGTTTCTTCTAATCCGTAACTTCTTGTCATCTTTGGAAAAAGAAAATATGTTTAATATACGGTAGTTTATGCTTTACACACACACACACACACACACACACACACACACACTAACTATATCAAACCCCAAATTAAAGGCACTTCCTGATCAGAACAATTTTCAGAGTTCCATGGGAGGAGGGATTGATAAACTACTCTGGAAATTGCAGCCCCGGGGGGAGAACAGGGGTTTCCTAATGACTCTCTGCAACTTTGACTAGCTGCAGTTTCCATAATTCTTTGGGGGAAGCTGTGATTGTTTGAAGTGGTATGATCTAGCTTTAAATGTATTAGGGTGCATTTGGGACCTAGTACACAGGTAACACACACATGTGACTCTTACCCATGTTGAATGGCACATGTGTGGCTGAAATAGGCCTTTTCTCTCTTGAGAACACGGGGAAGTAAGATCCTTTATCATCCATGTATTTTGCTGAGGTTGATGGCTCTTAATGCTTTCATGTTGCCATTCTGATGGCAAAGAGGCCCTTTCTGAGCCAAAATACTTATTTTGAACTTTCTGCACCTGAGTACTAAAGGTATTCTGCTAGGAAGCAGCCCTCAGAAACCAGGAGGTCCCCATCCATCTGATGGGGTTTGCAGCATTTTTGGGGAACGAAATGGAACCAAGTAAAAGGGCTCAAGCTGAGGTGTGCTGTGTCTCTGACTCTTCTGGAAGCTCAGATTGATTTTCCCCTCCTCAAAAATCTTAGGCATCCTTTGTTTGAGGAGAGACGAAGGAGAGGGAAATGGAGGTGGTCATGGGACAGTGGTCAGCTTAGAAGAAAGTCTGTATGTGTTTGTTGGGGGAAGGAAACTTTAATTAGGGTGGCTTGAAGGCTGGCTTTAACCAAAAGTCAGTGGGAGTCCTGTTTGATCTCCTTGTGGGTCAGGCTGTTTGATTCATCATAGGCCTGTTGAGGGGGATGGACACCTGCCCGTCACATGCTTTGATTCCCTGACGAGGGCTTTGATCTCTCCGGGCTGTGTGGGAGAGGGGTCACAGAAGTGTGTGTTTCAAAGTTGCATTCATGCTTTGCTAGCAGGGGTGGAGGGGGGGGAATATTCCCAGCTTCACAACCAACTCCTCTGGATCAGATGTGCTCAGGAGATGCCAGAGCTAACAGGAGTTCATGGAGAGGGGAAAGTTCACCCATAATCTAGTGGGAGGGGAAGCCTCACATTCCTTGAGAGATTGAATGGATGGGAGGAAGTTGGTGGCTACAGCTACATGGCTGGGTCACTGAAACTTTCTCTCTCACACAAATATAGGACTTATTCTTTCACTGGGCAACCAGGATGCCAGTGTGTACTAAGATTGTACTGAATGTTGCCACTTCCCTGCTCTTCCTATTCATTTGGGTAATAGGATAATAAATTGGGAACCCCATTCACAACATTACCAATATGTACTGCAGGAAAAGGAGTGGGGCAAGGGGAAAACCATGTGCATCCATACCTAGAAAACATGGGTCAACTGCCCAGCCCCATGTTTTCTGGGCACGGGGCAATCAGAAGTGTGGACAAGCTCACAGTTAAAGCACATGACTGCCCCCAAAGAATTCTGGGGACTGTAGTTTGTTAAGAGTGCTTCAGATTGTAGATCTCTGAGGGGAAAGCAATGGTTCCCATATTTTTTTGGGGGGGGGGGAAGTCATGTGCTTTATATGTGCATTGGATGTTCTTTAAATGTATGGTGTTGATACAGTACATTTTTGTCACTGGGTGGTGTTGCCAGTATGGACTGAATTTTTACTTAACATGCGACTTTCCTTGCCGATGGTAGCTTTTTAGCTAGCGTTATTTTGGAACTAGATCTCTCAGCTATGTTAATGCACTCTGAATGCTGCTAATTTTGCATTTTGTTACTTGTGGGAATCTTTTAAATTGTTTATTTGATTTTGTACAGTGCTTTGACTCAGACAGATGTGTTGTTAAAACTACTTCAGCTTGTTCCCTATAATGGACTATAGATCAATCCATTACTACTCTTGAACCTTGAATACTTTCAAAAAATATGTTCATGGCATTCCTTTTACTTCCCAATCTATGTTCATGCGGTTAACCAACAAATTAGATATTAATTCCCCGAGCTTGTTTTTTCTTAATTAATTTAAAGAATTATTGTGTCCTGGTAGGAAGCTTTGGTTTGATCTAATTTCTCGCCACACAATGCTTATCGTATTCCTTACAATTACCTGCTGTATGTATTGCTTTGGATACTCCCATGATATATAGCCAAGTGTTTTGTAGCACTCTAGATAGATGAAATGTCTGAAATCAAGGCAATCTCAATAAGTTTCAAAAGCAGTAGAGAATTAGTCGTAGCACCAGCAGTCTACTGTCCCAAAAGGATGACAGATATGCATACATAAAATAATTTGTACATGTTAAATGAACAATGGTCTTCTATCCTGTTTGGGGTAATTGTGAAGTGGAACCTAGGTGGCAAGAGACAAACCTAGATGGCTTGTGAGACAACTTGTCCTGATTTTTCAGCATTCATCCCAATTTGCTTGCACAAAGCTTATGTGGTGGTTAGACTATTGAAATATACTCGGAGTCCTGTAGCGATTTTATGTTCTTTATTGCAGCTTGAAAAACAGTGATTTTATTGCCCCCCCCCAACCTCAGGCTTTTTATATACATTATTTACACAATGAGTCCCATCTGATTGGCTGATTCTGCTTCCCTCCTGGAGCCTGATTGGTCTTTCCTGCAGGCCAATCAGTTGTTGCATTCTACAATCCTACCAACCTAATAGGCTGATTAACTTCCTCCTGGAGCCTGATTGGTCTTCTCCTGCAAGCCAATCAGCTGTTGCATTCTAGGATCCTACTTGCCTATTGTTCTAGGATCCAAGCTTAGTACATAACACCTATGCCCAGTCTTTATTGAACCTTTGTTCTGCTTTATTTTCAGGGAGACTGTCAGATAATGAGCATTCACCTTGATTTATTTTCAGGGTGTTTATACATCTTCATTCATCCGCCCCACACTTTTAAAGGCATTCATTTCCTAACTGTAAATGGCCTGTTTCTTTTTTCTTTCTTTCAAAAAAGTGGCTTTGTTTTATTAGGGTGACAGAGCACTTTAATCCAAGTTAATTATGCAAATCTAAATCTCTGGTATGCGCTTGAATCCTTCCTGCAAAACAGTGACAGTCCGGGGGCACCGCATGCTGCTCCTCTTGTGTTCCTATAAATGTTTTTTGGTTGGTGGTCATCGTGCACATTTTCCTTAGTTGTGCGTGCTCAGTGAATGTTGAGTCACCCCATGACTGTCACCCATGTGTTTGCATGGGGTTGTGTTCCAAATTTATTCTCAGCCTTGACATTTGTGTGCCAAGTGGGCAGAACATGTTGTATTTACAAGCAAGCTGAGGAGACTATCTGAAGGGGCATGAAAGAAGATCCAGGTATCTCCCGTTTCATTATGACCTTGAAACCAGAGTCTGGAATGTAGAGCCCCTGCCTCCCCCAGTATATAACCAGAGAACTAGATAAAAGCCAGCTCTTCTAGAGGCCAGCTAATATCTCTGGAGGCTGCAGTCAGAAGTAGGGGTTTGTTTTGTTTTGTTTGGTCATCTGGAAAGGCTCTCCTTAAATATGGGGGGAAAAATGATTTAGTAAAAGTAGACAGCCACAGAAAGAACAAGTCAGAAGGGTCAGCCATACAGAACATCTTCCATATAAGATGGAGGCTAAAATGATTAACAGCTTCATCCTATGGCTCAGCTTAAACTGCAGTGATGTAAATTGTGACGTGTTCCTTCTTTTGGAACATAAGGCTAGGGAATTCCTACAGAAATGCCACCTCTTCTCTTCATGATTATAAATATTGCATTCATGCCAGCCACTGTGGTTCCTACTATGGCATCATACACTATCTCAACGGCTTTTTTTTCAGCATAGAGGGGCTAACATAAGGTCCTACAGCAGCAACCTTGCATTTGGGAGACAAAAACTGCTTTTTCCCCTCCTCCCAAGGTTTGGAGGACAATAAAGGCATGGTTTAGGATTTGAGTCAACTTAACTCCCTGACTGAGTGATATGAGGCCATGGCTGCTAACTTAGATGGTTTTTAAAATGGGATTAGATATATTCATAGGGGAAAGGCCAGGAGAGTTGGCATCAGTGAGGTGCATAAATATATAGGGGTGTGTGTGTGTGTGTGTCCACTGCCAGCTCCTGAAGTTTTCTGGGCCCGCACCTCCTCCTTGTCCATTCATCTTCCTTCCCTGAGTGACACTGCATGCGTGGTCCTCTCCTTTGGAGACACGGTGCAGGTTGGGCCCACAGAAAGAGAGAGAGAGAGAGAGAAGTGAATATGCAGCAGCAAGAGTGGCAAGGAGGTGGTGGATCCACTAATGATGAGAGGTCCACTAAGACCTCTTGTCCAGCCCGGCAACTGCCTGCTGCACACTTGCAAATTGTGAAAGACTGTAACTCAGTGGTAGAGAAGTTGCTTTGTGCACAGAACATCCCGGGTTCAAGCCCTGGTGTCTTCAGGTAGGACTAGGAGGGATCCCTGTCTGTAACCCCAAAGAGCTACTGCGAGCCAGTGTATGCAATACTGAGCTGGATGGACCAGTGCTCTGAATCTGTGTACCTAACCCGATGCTTAGATGTGTCAGTAGATCTCTCTGTGGCTGTTAATCATGAACTTTGAGGCTCTAAAGCAGTGTGCTGCTCAACACCAATTGCTGAGAGGCAACCATAGCCTTTTTGACCCAGTCATGGACTTCTCAAAAGCCTCTGCTTGGTCACTGTATGAAAAAGGATGCTGTATTACGAAGCTCTTTTGTTTGAACAGAGATTTTCTTAAATTCTTATGGCCTCTCTCCAACCCTCTCTATCTGGCCATCAGAACTCTTCCCAGTTGTCATGTCTCAGGACCAGAGGACCCAACCTCACACCAAGTCTTGGTATGCTAATATGCTCCCTCAGAGAGTGAGGAGCCAGGGTCCTGAGATAAGGCCAAAGAAGATGAGTTCAGCTTCTGATGTTAGGGTGAGTTCAGGCTAGGATATCAAGGCTGAATAGGTCTCAAGCCCGAGGGAAAAGAAGGGCCTTAAATGCCAGATTGGAACCTGGCCCATCTGGAGAAGTGACTACAGGCAAGGACTTCCTCGGAGTCTCAGGAAGACCATTGGAGAAAAGGGAGTTTACTGGAGTCAGCTGAGCCCGGGATATGGTTCCAGTAGCTCCAGCTCAAATAACCCAGTGCTGGGCTGAAAGTGTTGATGGAACAGTGTCTATGTCTCAGGTTTGGGCTCTGCCTGCTTTTGGATCCCCTGCTATACCTGACCATGGATTGCTTTGACCTTGCCTCTCTCCAGGCCCTTGTTGCAAATTATTCTGGCATGGACTCTGGACTTTGGGCTGCTGCAATTTTGCCTTTTGCCTGACCCTTCGTTGTACACCCTGCTGCCTGGACACGGGCGCTGGATAATGCTCTATTTGCTGCCCACATTGTTGTTGCTACTTCTGTCCCCTGGTTTCTCAGGTGCCCAGTGAGAACAGGACACCAGGCCAGGCCCCCACCTCAGGCTGCACCCCTCATGGGCCTTGAGTTGTGTTCTGGATATTTTTGCCTGGCTGGAATGTGTCCTTGAACTCTGATAATGCCTTTTGCTTGCCTGGATGAAGAACTGAGAAAGCTCTGTGTGTGTGTATGTGTGTGTGTGTGTTTGTAAACTAGCCTACTATTGCATTTGTTTTTCCGCTCACATTGGCCTCTGGCCACTGGCATGTGGCCCCTGGGAAGTTACAGCAAATGGAATGTGGCCCTTGAGCTGAAAAAGGTCCCAAACCCCTGCTTTTGAGTACTTGGTTGGGAATGGAAAACCCACGGTGGCTTCATGCTGCTTCACTTGCAAAGCAGACCACACTTAACCATTTCCTCTCTCATCATGCTCGACACCTCCTGCTGGAAGAACCGGGCCCCTCTGTTTTGGCCGAGGTTGATTTGCGTGTTATGACATGAGCAACAAATGTTGATAGGTAGGGGTGTGCGCACATGTGTGTGTGTGTGTGTGTGCACATGGATGAGGGAAGGACTTGTCCAATTAAGCCAGAGGAAAGAAACGGGAAGCCCTCCAGGCCATCGAGCACTGTAACTAAAACAAGTTTCCCAAAGACCAAGACAAGCCTGGTAAATCTGTAATGTGGTGTCCTGTTTCCTAATCTTTCCAGTGAGGAAGCAGCGCGTTGAATTTAAAGTATCCCTCTGGTAAAAGCTAACTATTTAAAGAGTTCTGGGGTCCCAGCAATGCAAAACAAAGATTTGTTGATTAAAAACACATGGTTTGCTCATGAGACTTGAGTAGCCAGAAAAAATCAGACCTGACAGTATTTTGGCTTTTCTTCTACCGCAAGACAAGATGGTGATTTATTACAGTGATGTCAGCAGGGCTTGAAAATGTTCCCTGAATTGTCTTAATAAATATAAAAAAGCTTTACCTTGAAATCATTAGACCCTTGGCCTGTTTATGTGAAGAAAACTAAGAATGAAATGGTCCATTCAAACGCCTCCAACTCTTTAATGATCACGTATCCATCATGCATGAACTGATGGTGGTGTAATTCTAGGATATAGGCCTGTCGTTCCCAACATGGGGCACATGCCTAGAGATGTAAAATTTCCGGAAATTTTGAAGCCATGAGAAAAAAACATTTTTTCTCCTGTTTTTTTCCGGGGAGCATGGAAATTTTGGAAAAATTGAAAAAAAGTTCAGTGTGGAGTAGTTTTACGAATTGGGTGAAACACAGTGTAGATAAAAGTATCGTGCTTGTAATAAAACAGGTAACCACCCCCTTTCCCTCAAAAGAAAAAAAAAGAAAAAAAGCAAGAAGCCATCAAGATAAAAAATAATCAGATTTGCCCCTTAGCACCAACATCAAATAAAGTTAAGGTCCACCTCAGTATTTAAGCTCCATAGAAGGTCAACCCTTTGAGTAGTGCTTTTTAAAAAAACCAAAACAAAACCAGAAGACACATCATATACACGTGATTTATTCTATCTCATTTTCTGAACTACAGTGGTACCTCGGGTTACATATGCTTCGGGTTACATACTGTCAGAGCTGGCTCCAGGTCCCAGCTCACAGAGGACCAACGCTAGCCGGCAGTAATGTACAAAAGTCTTTATTGAAGTACAGTTTCCATTTTCAAGCCGGAGCGCCCCAGCTCTACGTCTAGGGGTTAGATCGGCGAAGCTCCATCTGAGTCTCCGCCCCTGTACACCAGTTTAAGATTCTAGCCTTACTCCACCTCTTACGCCTCTCCTTTCTCCTCTGGGTCCTGCTACCCCCGGGTCCCTTCCTTCCTGGATTCTTCTGACGCTGACCCCCTGACTCCTCCCCTCTTTTCGGCGGGCTTTGGGACCTGGCTCCCTATCCGGGCTGCCAACTGCGCCGCCCTCCTGTACATTTGAACTTGCGCGCGCGCCCAGCCTTCAACCTTCCTCTCGACCGTTTCTCGCTCCCCGATGGAGGCGTGGCCAATCCTGACTCATGTCCTCCCACTGGCAGTGCGCCGCCTGATCCCGATGCCTGGGACTCCTCCCCTACTGCACTCTGGTGTGGACTCTGGTCCTGATTTCCAACTGCTGCTCTCTGAGTCCCGTCTGGGCCCTTCTTCCTGGGGTGTCCCCTCGGCACCCCCTTGCTCTGACCAAGGGAGCCCCTTTCTGTGAATCTTCCGATTCGCTGGAAAGACTCAGAGACCTCGGACCGCTGTCATCGCTAACATTTCCTTCGGACTCCTCCCCTCGCTCTCTATTTCCTCCCTTTCCTGTGCCTCTGCTCCTGAACCCCTGACATCCATCCCCCTCGAAGCCCCCCTTCCCCCTCCCCTCCTTCAGGTGTGGGTACTGGGTGCTCCGTCGTTGTGGGGGTGAGTGCCGGATACAGTTCGTTCCCCGTGGCGTGCATCCAGCCGGATAAGTCCGGCTCGTCCTCCGTGCTCTCGCCGACCTCAATTTCCTCTGCTTCCATCTCTTGCCGCCGTGCTCGAACCCAAGGTCCTCCCCAACACGTCCATGTCCGTCTCTCCCCGGTCTCCTCCGGGGACGTTGCCTGCCAAGGACCCCCCAACCACTTCCTGCGCCACTGCTCCTCTGGTTGATTGTCCCACCAATAGGAACGGTCTGAGGCAGACCCCGAGGGTGATCCCTCCGGGGAACGTGCTTCTAGTGCCGGTTCCTCGTCCGAGGTGAACCCCTGGAATGTGCTAGCTGAAAATGTGGGTGTGAAAAGCCAGTCGTCGAAATACTCGGCTGGCATGGGCCTGTGTGGGAAAAGTGCATGGAACTCGTCCGTGAGCCAAGATTCCTCCAGAGCATAATCTGGCACCCAACTGTTGGCGCTAGCCGGGTACCTTCCTTGGCGAGGAGGTATTCCACTCCCTCCTCCCCCATCTCGAGTCTAAAATCTCTGTGACTTCGTTGACGGGTTCCCGCCTTGGCGACCCCCTTGTGGGCGTTTCCCTGAACGGGTCTGGTGCCGTTCCTGGCTCCTGAAATCTATGAGGTGCTTTGTAGGGCGTGAGCACTGATCTATGGAAAACTGGGTGCATTCTGGATCCCTCCGGCAGTGTCAACCGGAAGGCCACTGGATTGACCTGTGCCTCGACTTGGTAGGGTCCTAGCTGCTTATGCCCTAGCTTCTTCTTCGCTAACGATCTGGCCGGCACTGCCTGGGCTGCTAACCAAACCCAGTCTCCCACCTGTATGTCTTCCCCAACCCTCCTGTGCTTGTCAGCCTGCAGTTTGTATGCGTGCTTTGCTAGTTCTAACTGCCTCCGAAGCTGTTCGTGAACCTCCTGCAACTCTGATGCTAAGGCTTCCGCTGCCTGTGGCTCCCCTCCCCGCTCTCGCTAATCCCGGGAAGGTTCTGGGATGCCTCCCGTTGTTGGCGAAGAACGGTGTCACCCCCGTGGACACGTGCTTCGTGTTGTTGTAGGCGAACTCAGCGAGCGGCAGGTAGTCCACCCATGTTGCCGGCTGCTGATTTGCGTAGCATCGCAGGTACTGCTGCATGATGGCGCTTGACTCGCTCCGCTTGTCCGTCTCGTCTGCGGGTGTCTCGCCGACGCTAGGTTGATCGTGACGTTCAGGAAACCCATCAGTTTCGGCCAGAAGTTCGAGATAAAGTGTCGCCCCGGTCGGACAGGATAGACCGTGGCAGACCGTGAACTCTGAACACGTGGTCTATGAACAGTTTGGCGGTCTGTTCCGCCGTGGCCACCTTCGCGCACGGAATGAAGTGGGCCATTTTGGTGAACATGTCCACCACCACTAGCACTGCCGTCTTGCCCCTCGAGCTGGGTAGATCCGTGACAAAGTCCAGGGCCACCCTCTCCCACGGTTCGAGCGGTGTCTGCAGGGGTTCGAGCAGTCCCGCCGGCGGTTTGTGCACTGACTTGGCCCTTTGGCAGGTGTCGCACCTCGAGACGTAATCCGCGACTTCCCCGCATCTTGGGCCACCAAAATCTCTGGCTACTAATTCTACCGTCTTCTCTTGCCAAAGTGCCCGGCGGTGGGTGCGTCGTGCAACTGCTGCAGTACTTTCGCGGAGGTCGCCTCCCGGTACGTAGAGGGCCCTCTGCGGATGAGCAATCCGTCGCGTATCTGGAACTCGTCGTCCTCCGCCGTGCCCCTTTGCACCTCTGCCATCTTTGCTTGCGCGAAGGGGTCCTCCTGCAGTGCTCGACGTACAGCATCCAGGTCCACGGTTGCTGAAGCGCACGCCCACGCTTCGGTGCGAAATGTGCTTGGCCGCTGCTGGTGCCGCCTCCTCGAGGTATTGCGGCTTTCTGGACAGTGCATCCGCCATGATGTTGTTGTCGCCTGGGATGTACTCTATCCTGAAGTCGAAATCCGCAAAGAACTCCGCCCATCGTATGTGCCTCTGGTTCAGGAACCTTGCCGTGCGCCAGTACTCCAGGTTTTTATGGTCCGTGCGGACCTGCACTGTGTGTTTGGCTCCAATGAGGAAGTGCCGCCACGCCTTGAATGCTGCATGAATGGCCAGCAACTCCCTGTCCCAGATGGTGTAGTTCTGCTCTGACTTGCTGAGCTTCCTGGAGTAGAAGGCACACGGTCTCCAGTCCCCATGCGGGTCTTGCTGCAACAGTACTGCTCCCACGGCTCTGTCTGAGGCGTCCGTTTCAACCCTCATCGGTCTGCTGGGATTCACATGCAGTAGCTGCTCTTCGGACGAGAAGAGACGCTTGAGTTTCTGAAAGGACTGCTCCGCTTGCTCCGTCCAGATGAACTTCTTCTTCTTGGAGCTGAGCGTGTCGGTAATGGCCGCCGTCTGCATCGCGAACCCCTTGATGAACTTGCGGTAAAAGTTGGCGAAACCGACAAACCGCTGGACCTCCTTCCGATTGCGCGGGCTCTTCCAGTCCAACACTGAGCGAACCTTGGCGCTGTCCATGGCGAGCCCCTTGTCCGACAACTTGTAGCCCAGGAAATCTACCTCCTTCATGTCGAACTGGCACTTCTCCAGCTTGGCGTACAGCCTGTGCTCCTGCAGTCTCTGCAGAACTTCCTTGACGTCTCCCTCGTGGGTCTCCTCTGATTCTGAAAATATCAGGATGTCGTCCAGGAAGCAGACGCATTTCTTGTAGAGGAGACCCGCCAATACGTGATGCATGAAGGCTTGAAAACAGTGGGAGCCATTTTGTAATCCAAAGGGCATAACTCTGTATTCATAGGTGCCCAGGGGCGTGAACATGGCAGTCTTCCATTCGTCGCCCTCCCGTATGCGAATCAGGTTGTACGCCCTCGCAGATCCAACTTTGTGAAAACGCGTCCTTTCCTCACCGTTGCGAGCAGGTCATCTATCTTGGGCATGGGAAAGGCTGTGGGCTTGGTTTTCGAGTTCAAAATTCTATAGTCCACCACAAGCCTTTTTGGGGCGCGTCCTTCTTCTTCACAAAGAATACAGGACTGCCCCCACTGCCTTCGACTCCCGGATGAAACCGCGCTTCAAGTTGAGGTCTATGAACTCCTGAGTTCCTGCAGCTCGTCTTCAGACATGGAATACAGTTTCCCGGTTGGCAGCGCGCTCCTGGCAGGAGGTCAATCTTGCAGTCATAAGACCTGTGGGGAGGTAGCTTGTCCGCTTCCTTCTCGCAGAAAACCTCCAAAAACGCTGCGTACTTGAGTGGCACTGCTTGCAGCGTGCCTAATTGTAGCTGCGGATCATCCTCTTCCCCTTCCGGGCTAGGCAGAATGCAATGTTCCGCACAGTATGAGGAGCCGAAGGTCAGTTGTCGCTGGTACCACGCCAATGCTGGGCTGTGCCTGTGCAGCCAACTCATGCCTAATACTATAGGCGTGTCCGACAGTTGGGTGACATTGAAGCTGATGACTTCTCGGTGATTCCCAATTTGCATCACCATCGGAGGCGTTTGCTGCACCACCTGCCCCCCCAGCAATTCCCTGCCATCCACCGTGACAACCTTCAGAGGCAGCGTGGCTGGCAGGAGTGCTATGTTGTGCTCTTGAAGGAAATCCAGTCCTATGAAGTCTGCGTTACTACCAGAGTCAATGGTAATCGGCACTTCCATAGTGAGTCCATTGGGTAGTTGGAGCGATGCTGTGAGCTGCACCACTGGTTTGGGCGGGAGGGGTTCTGTGGGCTGCAAAATCTCTGGGGACGGCTTCATTGACTTGTCTGGTTGGGCCCCAGTGCCTCTTCCTCCAACCAGACTCTGTCGTTTCCCTGCTGTGGTTCTCTCTGCTGAGTTGCTTCTGTTACTGTTGCTGAGGCTGCAGTGTGCTTGTGGAGCCTCTGGGGACACTCTTTCGCCATGTGCTGAGCACTGTCGCAGATGTAGCACTTCCTGTTCCCTCTAGGAGGCTTCGCTTGACTGCTCCCGGTGTTAAGGCTCTGGTTGCTGACTGAGCCCTGGCGCCTCCAATCTCCATCGGTTGCTCCCCCCCTCCTTGCGGAGGTGGGGATTGCACACGCGCTGCATCCTTGGGAAAGAGGGGAGGTGCTCTCACTGGCGTACGTCCCCAACGTCCTTCTTCTCTATTCCATGGACGTTCTTCCAGACGCACCCCAATTTGCAGCGCCCGCCGGACAACCTCCTGAGTGCTCTTTGGTCTCTCCCCTTGCAATCTCATCTTTCACATTTGCATTCAAGCCTTCCCAAAAAGGTCTCTGGCTGGGGCAGAATCCTTCTCCCATCCCAGCGAATGGACTAATGCAAAAAGCGGGAATGGTACTGCCTTACACTGGCTCTGCCTTGTTTGAGCCCATGTATGTCTTTTTCTGGCGATATCAATGTCTATATTTGATAAAAACACGAATCCATCGCTTTAATGAATGCATCCGCATTTTGGAGCGCCGGATCCTTATCTCTCCACAGATTGCGCAGCCACGCTTTAGCTACACCAAGCAAATGGGACAAGATAAACCAAACCTTCTCATGCTCAACTCTAAAGTCTTTATCCAGCAGTTCCAGAGCAAACAGCACGACTGCTCGGAAGTTAGGTGACTTCTGCAAATTCCCATCGAAATGAGATACCAGGCTGCCTCCTCTTTTCCCAGCCCAATCCCCTCTGATTTGGGTCCCGGTTGCCCCTGCTTAGCAAGCACTTCCAACCTGGCTTGGAGATCCCTGCAGGCGGCAGCCGCTTCCTCTTCCCTTTTCCTGGATGCGAGTACCTCCGCGTTGAGTTGTGTCACTGCATTTTGCAGGGCTGCTAGTTGCTGTTCTGTAGTCATCTTGCCTGACTTTTGTGAGCTCGCGAAGCACCAATCTTCTTCCTCGCTGCGTCCACTCACGTTACGAGGTTTTTGGTGCAAAACTTTTGCAGATGGAGCTTACTGTCAGAGCTGGCTCCAGGTCCCAGCTCACAGAGGACCAACGCTAGCCGGCAGTAATGTACAAAAGTCTTTATTGAAGTACAGTTTCCATTTTCAAGCCGGAGCGCCCCAGCTCTACGTCTAGGGGTTAGATCGGCGAAGCTCCATCTGAGTCTCCGCCCCTGTACACCAGTTTAAGATTCTAGCCTTACTCCACCTCTTACGTCTCTCCTTTCTCCTCTGGGTCCTGCTACCCCCCGGGGTCCCTTCCTTCCTGGATTCTTCTGACGCTGACCCCCTGACTCCTCCCCTCTTTTCGGCGGGCTTTGGGACCTGGCTCCCTATCCGGGCTGCCAACTGCGCCGCCCTCCTGTACATTTGAACTTGCGCGCGCGCCCAGCCTTCAACCTTCCTCTCGACCGTTTCCTCGCTCCCCGATGGAGGCGTGGCCAATCCTGACTCATGTCCTCCCACTGGCAGTGCGCCGCCTGATCCCGATGCCTGGGACTCCTCCCCTACTGCACTCTGGTGTGGACGCTGGTCCTGATTTCCAACTGCTGCTCTCTGAGTCCCCTCTGGCCCCTTCTTCCTGGGGTGTCCCCTCGGCACCCCCTTGCTCTGACCAAGGGAGCCCCTTTCTGTGAATCTTCCGATTCGCTGGAAAGACTCAGAGACCTCGGACCGCTGTCATCGCTAACATTTCCTTCGGACTCCTCCCCCTCGCTCTCTATTTCCTCCCTTTCCTGTGCCTCTGCTCCTGAACCCCTGACACATACGCTTCAGGTTACAGACTCCGCTAACCCAGAAATAGTGCCTCGGGTTAAGAACTTTGCTTCAGGGTGAGAACAAAAGTCGCCCGGCGGTGCTGCGGTGGCAGCAGGAGGCCCCATTAGCTAAAGTGCTGCTTCAGGTTAAGAACAGTTTCAGGTTAAGAACGGACCTCCAGAACGAATTAAGTACTTAACCCGAGGTACCACAGTACTGCTATCATTTTCTATTTCTTCTGGCTCTTCCTCTTTGTCATTTTTCTCATGGACCTAATTTTTTTTTCTGGTTTTTCCCCAGGCCTTTCCATCTCTACTTGAGGACAGACGGGGCAAAGCATAAGGTGATTTTTTTTGTATGCCAGACATGCCCCACAGGGGGGCAATTTGATTTTTAAGGGGGACAATTTGGAAGTTTGTTTAGACCAAGTTAATGGCCCTTTAGGCTTCCTCCACATGAATAGGAGCTCACTTTTTGAATAATAAGAATTATATGTCACGGGGGCAGGCATCAGGATTTTAGAGATGCTTAGGTGGATATGGCAAAAAAAAAAAAAAAAAAGGTTGGGAACCACTGATATAGGCATTTGCCTGATACCAAGTTGGTCCATAGCGGGGGGGGGGGGACTTGAGTCTAGGAGCCACAAGCATCCCTCCAAGCCTCTCTCTCTGGCCTTTGAGGTTCTTTCCACCCAGATCACACACTCATACCCCTCAATCGCCCCAATAAAATCAGGACATCCTGCATTTTCGCACGAGATTATGAAGCCTGAAAAAAGCACGTCTTCTGAGACCATGATCTTGTGCGGATCTTGTGACTTGTGCAGGAGTGTGGCCCCTGGAGATGCGTGGCCTGTTTTTTTGCCTTGACATGTTGGAGGGTATGCACACTTTCTCCAGCCACCCCTTCTTTTACTTTGCACCCCCCTTTTTGCCTGGCTGAAATGTGCCAGTGAAGTCTGATAATGCCTCTTGCTGGAAGGAGGATGGGGGAGGCTGTAGTTACTTGATCACTATAGTCTATACATTCATTACTCCGCCCACCATTGCCTCTGGCCCCGCTGACCGTTGGCATGTGGCCCCTGGAAGGCTGCCTAGGAGGGAATATGGCCTTTGGACTGAAACAGCTTCCCTACCCTTGTCTACTTTCCCAGTGGTGATGTATGGAAGTGAGAGCTGGACCATAAAGAAGGCTGATCGCCGAAGAATTGATGCTTTTGAATTACGGTGCTGGAGGAGGCTCTTGAGAGTCCCATGGACTGCGAGAAGATCAAACCTCTCCATTCTGAAGGAAATCAGCCCTGAGTGCTCACTGGAAGGACAGATCCTGAAGCTGAGGCTCTAATACTTTGGCCACCTCATGAGAAGAGAAGACTCCTTGGGAAAGACCCTGATGTTGGGAAAGATGGAGGGCACAAGGAGCAGGGGACGACAGAGGACGAGATGGTTGGACAGTGTTCTCGAAGCTACCAACATGAGTCTGACCAAACTGCGGGAGGCAGTGGAAGACAGGAGTGCCTGGAATGCTCTGGTACATTGGGGTCACAAAGAGTCGGACACAACTAAATGACTAAACAACAACAACCCTTGTCTACACTGAGATGGCAGAAACTATCCAAGATTTCAGATGGGACTCTTCCCTGCCAGCCTTTCCTGCAGGGGTTGAACCTGGGACCTTTGGCGTATAAGGAACTTGCTGTGCTATTGTGCTGCAGCCCTTACTTACAGATTCACTCTCTAGCATCCACACTTAAAATGACCAGGTAGCAGGGTGTGAGACCTGGAAGATATGCTGCCAGTCAGAGTAGACAAAATGGCTCTCCCTGGACAGATAGTCTGATCTGCCACGAGGCAGGTCCATGTAACAGACCAGAGCTGGACTCCACAACGGCAGATGACTTTTGAGAAAGGCAGGGGAGGCCCTAATCGAGAAGAACCACCTCCAAGATAGATGAGATAGGACAGAGAGAAGCTCTACCCGCATGCCTTCTTTCTCATCTATCGCAATGGCTTGCCCTTTCAAAGCCAGCTAAGCTCTGTTTCTTGGCAAGCAGAATAATCCTTGATGGTCTGGCTTTTTGAGGCACATCAAAGCAGGACAGGGGATTCCCAAAAGTTTGACAAATGTGGCTCAGGCCTGTTGAGCTTCCCACCCACCGAGCAGGATGCAAGCCCTCTGCCGTGTTGCTGTGGGTGTAGCCTCTCTTTCTGAAGTCCTGGGTAGGCATGGAAATGGGTTTGTGATGCCATTCCAGGCTGCCAGAGATTGTGTAAGCTACGCAGGCCTGCTGTGTTCTGGCACTGTGCCAACCTTATGCAACTCACTTTGTTGTAGTAGTTGCCATTGTCTTGTGCTCCTCCTCCTCCTTCATGATGATCCTGTGTAATCCATGGTGTATATGTCACCCTTTCAGATAAATCCCCAGCATCTCTAGGGTTGGGAATATTCCCAGTCTGAAACCATTGAAAAGTCACTGTCAGTTATTGTAGGCAATACTGAACAAGAAGGACCAATGGTCTGACTTAATATACCCTTAATATACCCGGATACTCAGACATACAGCTGCTGCACCCAAACTAACAATTCTTTAATATTATGACCATGAAGCATAACTTTGCAGCAAGTTGAATCACCACTGGCCAGACTGTCATGTTGGGAATGTGGTCAAATTTGTCCTGCAATTTCTTCACTGTTCATACAGTTCACCATTCAACATACATTTACTGCTCATCCCACTATTTCCTGTATATCTCTATATGGGCCAATAACTGGGTTGAACACTAGACAAAGCCATACAGTTCATGTCAATTTTGGATGGTTGTCAACTCAGTGTGATCCATCTTCCATAAAGAAAATGTCTAGGACAAGTTTTCTGAAAGGAGAGTCAGTATCAGAGTCAGCAAGATTTTGTTCTGTTGCTGGGTGGTCCTGAAAAAAAATAATAGTTCAAGCCTGACTGCTGTCATGGGATTTGTATGTGTGTGTGTGTGTGTGCCCGCGCATGCTTACAGCTGCAATCTTATGAGCACTTACCTGGGAGCAAGCCCCATTGAACACAGTGAAGCTTATGTCTGAGTGAACATGTGTAGAATTGCACAGGACATAAACATGTTTCCAATTCATTGTTATTCTTTCTTAAGAAGACAGATTGCTCATTTTATGAATTGTTTTCAACACTGGTCATGCTAACTGGCTCGCAGGAGAGGGGTCTGGGCTCAAAATGCAGGATATGAATATATGAAAATAAAATCTATTAAATAATACAATGCATGCCACTTGCCACTCTTTCCCATTTCAACTATAAAATGTGAATAAGGGTTTCTTCAAATATCATGCTTATTGAACATTCATGATGATTTGTGCTTTTGATGATATTGGGGTACATGCACCCAATCCTACTCTCAACGCTGTTTGCACTTGCAAACGTTTGGGAATGGCCACACTGTTTAGTTTTCAGTCATAGCACCCTGGTGTATTTTTGTCCTGCATTTGTTGTGCAATGTGTCAGCACTGGGGAAGAGTCACAGAACAATCTGAAGCAGAGCAAATCCGCCACTACTCCACTAATGCAGTAACAAGAGTTCAAGAAGCAAGACCTCGGGTAATTCATGGGATTCCAAATAATCATCCAAACCGTGCTTTAGACAGGGTTGCCATATTTCAAACAGTGAAAATCCGGACAGAAAAGTTGTTGAGTTGTGTTTTTTGGCCAAAGTTATTGAGCTGCTGCCGACTGCAGTATTCCGGATATGTCTGGGAAATTCCGGATGTATGGCAACTCTAGTTTAGGTCATAGGTAGCCAACACCAGAAGCTTTGGGGTTGCAACTCTCATCATCCTTGACCATCAGCCCTGCTGGCTGGGAATAACAGGAGTGCAGAACATCTGAAGGACAATACAATAGTTACTCCTGATTGACCTTTCCAGCCTGCCTGGCCCAAAGCTAAGGGATGATGGGAGTTGGGCACCATATGGACTAAAATGGTACCCCTGACTACTAGGTCCAGTCGTGGCCGACTCTGGGGTTGCGGCGCTCATCTTGCTCTATAGGCCGAGGGAGCCGGTGTACAGCTTCCGGGTCATGTGGCCAGCATGACTAAGCCGCTTCTGGCGAACCAGAGCAGCTCACGGAAACACCGTTTACCTTCCCGCCAGAGCGGTACCTCTTTATCTACTTGCACTTTGACGTTCTTTCGAACTGCTAGGTTGGCAGGAGCAGGGACCGAGCAATAGGAGCTCACTCCGTTGCGGGTATTTGAACCGCCAACCTTCTGATCGGCAAGTCCTAGGCTCTGCAGTTTAACCCACAGCGCCACCCGCATCCCTTACTGTGCTAATAGGAATCTTCAGGCCCCAGCTCCTGCTATGTATGGTTCTTGACCTTTAAACCAGAATTGGACCAGGCAGTACTTCAAACAGAGGATTGTCTTCTGACCAGCCTTCAAATAGAGGACCTCCTTCTGTAAAACAGGATGCATGGCCACCCTAGGAAGCCAGGCCCTGTTGTGTAGTCAGAGTTTGAAATAAGCACTATTTACTCTTGGATAAACTGTGCTATAATCTTCCTAAGCAGAGTTTAGCTTTGAAAAATGGGTTAAATCCTTCTGGGATAATCTCCAGGCCTTGTGCTTTTTCTGAGCATGAGTCACTAGGAGGTCTTTTGACAGAAAGGATGGGGGGGGCGGGGAGTGGGTTCAGGCCAGCAGAAATGTTCAGATGGTGCTACAGGCCAAATCAATCTTGGACAAAAAAATTCATGGACTTCACCAGTCCCCCATTCTGCCTGTGGACATGTGAGGAAGCTCAGTAGGCAGGAAAATGCCTGGGAAATCAAACAGGCTTGTCAGTTTCAAAATTCTTTTTTTTCTTTAAATATAAATTAAAACAAAAGCGTGGGGGAGGGGGAAGCCAGCCTCTGAACTGAGTCACGGCAGAAAAGCAATGTGGTTTCCATCTCAGTGAAATATGGAAGAGGCGTGTCTCTCCTGGTCCCCTTTCGAAGCCATGAAAGTCCAGCTACAACCGCAGAGCAAAAAGTCCCAGAGCTGGAGGACTCACTGAACAAACAAGATGATTACAAATAACATACCCAGCAATAGCATGTGTCTCAAAACACTGACCCAGGAGAGCATAGCGTCATGAAATAACAAAACTGTGTTCTGTTTCCTCTACCTTGACTTACTGTGCAGGCTGGCAACTCAGTACAGTAGAGGCTAAGCAGGACTTCAGATGGTCCTTGAGCAGCTTGCACTCAGGAAACAGGCCAGTGTGAGCAATTATATGAGGGCAGATGGGACCCTATTGGTTCCTTAGGTCACGTGAGCCCTGCTGAAAGCAGCTGTATACTTTTGGGGCACTTTTACTGCAGCCATTGAATTGTTGGTCAACGTTCATGACATTTTGCATTAAATACACACAATTATTTTGACTATTTTAGGGTTAGTTCTTCTTCTTCCTCCATATGTGCCATTGGCTTCTTATTCATTTTTCATTTTCATGATCATAAAAGCAACTCCTCCAGCCAATAGATGGTGCTGTTCTATATCCTTAGGGCTTTGCCATATACACACATTTTCCATATAATGCATTTTATTTCCAGAAATATTTGCATTTTTGTACACATTACTTGGCTGGAGAACTGCATTTCAAAATAAGGAGGAATGCAAATTTTAAAGGACGGCTGTGTTTCAGTCCCCGTACCATGTCAGAAAGTGCAAATTAGGCAGATTGACCTTTAAATGTGAACTGGATTGAATTTTTCCCCCATCCTTACTTGCAAGCAATAATGAAGTTTGTTTCTCTAATGGAAGTATTACAGCATACCCAAAAATCCACCATGGAATACGCAGGTGGCGGGAGGAGTTTTTGAGTGGGAAAACAGCTGGTGGGGAAACAGTTAAAAAACATGAGTTGTATCCAGCTAAATTCTGTGGTGTAAACCACTGAGCCTCTTGGGCTTGCTGATCAGAAGGTCGGCGGTTCAAATCCCTGCGACGGGGTGAGCTCCCGTTGCTCTGTCCCAGCTCCTGCCAACATAGCAGTTCGAAAGCATGTCAGTGCAAGTAGATAAATAGGTACTGCTGTGGCGGGAAGGCAAATGGTCTTTCTGTGCACTGTCAGAATTATGTCAGAAGTGGTTTAGTCCTGCTGGCCACATGACCCGGAAAGCTGTCTGTGGACAAACACCGCCTCCCTCAGCCTGAAAGCGAAATGAGTGCTGCAACCCCATAGTTGCCTTTGACTGGACTTAACCATCCAGGGGTCCTTTACCTTTACCTTTGTAGACTGCATTTGTGTCTCACGTATCTTTTGTCCTCTACTCCCTCTGGTTTGCTATTCCATAGGCCCCATCAAAATGCCACACATTTAAGAATTGAAGGCTCCAATTCAGTTATCGGATAGCATGCATACTGGACATCAAAGCTGTTTCTTCTTTTGCCTTCCATACATTGTTTAACCAAGGCTGAGCAGGATGATCACACATAGAAAGGGAGCGGTGGGAGGAGGACGAAAGGAACTGGCATGTTCTTGGCAGATAGGATTGGAGTGGAAAGAGCAAACACTCCTGCCTCCCCTGTAATGAAAGGCAACGGGCAAGTTACAACTGAGCCAGCTGTCATAAATAATCATCTCAGCAATTCCTTGCTGTTATGAGACATACCTGAAGACACCCTCAGTGCTGCAGCCAGGGATAAGGCCATTTTGTGCTACACATCAACCACAGGAGAGAACAACAAATGGGATTCTCAGATCTCTTTAGCCAAAATAGAAGCAGCACAAGTCTCATTTTAGGGGTGGGAAAACTGTGACCCTCCAGACGGTCGTGTGATGGGGTGGTGGCACTCACCTGACACAGCAAGGAGGGCAGCATTGTGCAAATGCTCAGGCAGGAGTGCTGGATTGGCTTTGCTGGTGTCACTGACCTCCCCTCCGCTTCCCCCCTTCTTCCTAGTAAAAGCAGCACTGACTCAGCTGCTGGGAGGTCAGCTGAGTGCTGCTGCTCCACCATTCCGTTTCTGCCACCAAATGCTGCTGGATGATCGCTCCTATTATCCCTGACCAATGGCCATCACATGTTTGTCAATTCTCATCATATGCTTGCCAGTCAAATGGAGACCCCCCTGCTGGCCAAACCACATCTGAATATGTCACAAATACATTGGCACATCTCTGGAGGACCAGAGGTTTCCTATCCCTCTCTTAGTGGTAAAAAAACCACTCTGAAGCAGAACGCTGCAGAAGAGGAAAGGTCTTTGTTTACAGTTATATATCCCATAATGCACCACACATTTCCATATATACTTACCACACAGAATTTGTAGGATATGGTCCTTGGGACGCATATATAAGAAGCTCACCTTTGCATGCAGATCCTTCACCTCTGATACGTTACAAAAGCGATCACACAGCAAAGGATTTTTGTTGTACTAAGATGCTTCTATTAACATGTTCACTCATACTTAAGAAATCATGCTGTCTTCTTATGCAATGTATATTTTGGTAAGTCTTAACAGTGGGACTTCATGTTCAATAGCTTAACGTTCTGTTTGCAGTAAAAGTCCCTACCACATCTTTCAAAGGAGAGAAAGTTCAGCAAAATTGCCTCTTTCTCTCTTTCTTTCATGGTTGCATGAGTCATAAGTAGCCAAAATGGAGTTCAAAGAGCCCCTGGGTAATTAGGATCTTTGAACTGTTTCTGAGTCACCTTGGGATAACTGTGACTGCACAATAGATAATGTGATGAGACGTGTAGACAGAGTTTGCATCAGCAGTCAGCATCATTGGGCATCTGCTCTAGCTTAACCACTGCTAGGGAGTGCATTACTAATACCCTCAGCCTTATTACTCCTCATGCCCTTGTATTGTTGCCTGTTCACCTGCCCTCCCAAACTGTGTGATGGGACTAAGGAAAAGGAGCAAGAAGCGCCATAGCTCAGTGGTACAGTATCTGCTTTGCATGCAGAAGATCCCGGGTTAAACCAGGTGGGGCTGAAGAGACCCTCATGCATCTCCAGAGAGGGCTGAGGAGACCCTTGCCTGAAATCCTGGAGAGCCACTGCCAGACACTGAATAATGAGCTAGATGGGCAAAGTTCAAGGCAGCTTCCTATGTCCTCTGCTACTGGGTGGTGGCATGAATTGGTACCAAAGGGACTGGGCAGGTGAATGGGTAGCAGAAACAGAAGCAGCAATAAGGAGAAAGTGAGGCTTATCAAGGAGAGGAAAGGCCCGGAAGTCACCTTGTCCAAGGGTCCCTGAGCATAAACAAACTCCCTCAAAGCACACAATGACCTAGGATGGAGCTACATTTGGATCCCCTATCTGTGTAGACCCTGAAGGAATAAGAAGATTATTAATCTATTCATTGCAGCCTTTGGGAACCTGGTGCCCTCCAGGTGCTTTGCACTATAACTCCCATCAGCCCCAGCCAGCTCATGTGCAGGCTAGGGCTGATGGGAATTGTAGTGCAAAGCAACTAGAGGGTATCAGGTTGCTGGAGGCTAATTTATTGGATGTTTCTGGGTTGTATAAAGACAACCTTTTCTCCTAACAGTGAGAACATTGCAGAAACACCTGGCTCATGCAATATGTCTCTTGTGAGCTTCGGGAGAAATGAACACCGTTGGACCTGGATCTTTGAGGGTGCGTCTGGAGGGGGTTGGAAGCTTTTAGTTAACACGTGCTAAGGCTCTCCCTCCGATTCCAGGACTGTTGTGCTCCATTACTGCCTCTGATGTTTCTCTGAATGTCACAGCTGTCTCAGCCCTGCACCGTTGATGTGGTAGAGCTCTTAATTAAGCACGCAAATGGGACAGCTGAATTTGCTGGAATGTCTTTTCTGTTTGAAGTTAAGCCTGTGCTTCAGGGCTTACTGGATCCAGACCTAGATAAGCTCCAATCTCTTAATGGGCTGGAGAGCACAGAGCAACAAACGTCCTCCCGCTGCACACATGCTCAGACACCCACATGAACACACAAACAAACTCTTAAGCAAATGAGGAATTAAGTAAATACATAAATGTGTTAGTTTACAAACAGAACTGTTACTTGTTACTCAGAGTATTAAACATCGCTTTTCCTTTCCCCCCTTCTACCTCACTGGCTGGCTTGCTCTCTCTCTCTGTGTGTGTGTGTGTGCGCATGTATGTGTATGTTTTTTGCTAAGCTGTGAAAGACGTTTGTTTCAGTTGCCAACATCTCTGCAGAACTAATGTGGGTGGATTGTGACAGATATAATTTCTCCATCCCACAGTTTCATCAACTTGAGTTCTGTTAAACTATACCCGCTGGGCTTAGCTCCTTTTAAAGTTTCCGCTTTGACAGGTAGATTTATTAGTCTTGAAATTTGTACAAATCAGATGTCACTTGTGGCAACTTGTCAAAATGTCAGTCTGGCGAGGGAGGCATGAAAGGATTTTCTGGAGAGAGAGTGAGAGAGAGAGACTGAGCCAGACGGGAAGCAAGCTTTAAAGAACTCGAGTAACAGCAGAAGAAAGGAGGTTGTGGTCCCTCCCTGTTCCTTGATCCTAGGTTTTGCTTTATTAAATACATAGCGCCAGAAAGTGGGAGATGCCATTGGAAACCAGTCTTCTGCTTGTCAAGGCTGACAGCCTGCAGAGATAGCCTCTGCCTCTTATTGAATGAAGCTTCTCAGCTTGCGATGGGGATACTCAGTGGGCAAGCCAGAGAGACAAAATTTTAGCCCAACATCATCGCCCTTCAGTATTTCAACCATTCAGTTTGATCTCTTGACAAGCATGATCAATGTGGCAGAATGAGTTTCAGAGGATTCTGTTTTGAACATTTTTGGGGGGGAGCTCAGCATTCGCTGAGGGTACATGGAAGGTTTTTGTTTTGTTTTTTAGAGGAAAATGCTAAAATGCTGCAAAAGAAGGCAGGAAAAGCCAGGTTAAAAAGTGGGATTTTCTGCAGTTTTCCTCAGGTTTCACAGCAGAATAACTCTTTTACTTTGGTGAAAAAGGTGCTCAGCATGGCTTATCTTTTATACATTGGCATAAAGTTAGCAAGAATATTGTCAAGCTCCTCCTGATGGTGGGTTATGAATAGGGATGTTGGACGATTCCATTGGAAGCAGAATCTAGGACTGTGCACAAGACTCCTCCTTATCTGGGCCAGTGATACAGTTGGTGAATGGACGATACAATCCTGATGGGGTCTGTTTCCCCAGCATGTTCCCTGCAGCCTTCCCATTGACAGCCCCAGATCACTCTGGGATTATTATTTTTACCAGACTCGGCCCATGTCTGGATCCTCCTGAATTAGCTTGATTCAGTTCAAAATTCGGCCAAATCTGGAGTCTACCCCTAGCAGAAACGAGATCAGAAATCACCACAGTTCACATGTTCGCCCAAGGTCAGGGATGGTATTCACCATTATTTCATTTTTAGTCTGCAAACATTACCTAAATAATTATATTATTTTCTGCATTGTTTTTGCTGCTTCCTGTCCATTGAAATGCATCAAAGTTATAGTGAGTCACATAACTGATGGCATTAGTTTTGGCCCTACAGAACAATGAGAGGAACACAGTAGGTTTTAGCAGAAGTCAAACTGTATCTGAACAGAAGGAGCGCTGTTTATGACAGACACTGGATTGAACAGAAATCACTGCCTTCTTGCATTCTTAGTTATGAAAGAGAATATAGAACAGATATGAAGCACCTCAAACCCAGGCCCAAATGTGGCCCTCCAGGCCTCTCTGGTCATTTGGTCACACCTCCTTCCCAGCAACACGCTTCCCCCCCCCCCGGCCGTACACCCCACTGGCCTTGCTTTGCTCCCACCTTGAGTGTTTCTTCCTGGATGGAGTGCATCTGTGGACTCTGTTAATGACTCCTGCTTTGATCTGGATGCATGATAGAGAGGTTTGTGTAGAAACTAGCCTACTGTGCACAGATAAAAGTTGCATTCTTTATTCCACTCACTTTCCCCAGCTAGCCCTGCCCCCAGCCTTGTGTACAGGCAACTCCCCATTTGTGCATGTTGGGCACACCATTTTTAGTGCTGGAAGGGGGTGGGGCAAGCTTATGCACACCAAACTGACATGTGTGGTGCCTCGGAACGCAACCTCCACACAAATGGGGAGTTGCCTGTACTTTCATTAGCATCCCTTAGTATCTATGGATTCAATGTTGGGCATGTGGGAGCACACCTTGCTCCAGCAAAGGAACAATCAAGCACTCACTTGAACCTCCTGATTGGCCCTTTGAAGCCCCACCCTCACCAACCTCATACCTGATGTCATTTATTATGCCAAGTGTAGGGCAGGTGGGCGTGGCTTTTCCAAAATGGCCTGGTGAGCCAAATGGGAAGGCCTAATGGGCCAAGTTTGGTCCATAGCCTAGAGGTCCCCCACCTTTGCTACAGATCTTCATGCTGCATTTGCAGATGCCTATGGGTCAGGATAAGATGAGCATATGGAACTGGAGTAGTGCTAGCTGACATGGCCACACTCCTGCATTCCTTCAGCTCAGTGGTTCACAATTCCCCCCCTGTGCCACACTTTCAGAATAAAATTTTGCCCACACCACACTGAATCTTTTTATTGGTAGCAAATACATCGGAAAACAAAAAGAAACAACTCCTAGCAGCCCTTGATTTATAACATAGAACACAACTACTTTGTAATATGATCATGGGACATCCAGAAAGTATAATGCAATGCAGCCACGTAAGAACATGAATCATATCCATAATATAATTATAAATGAGCCTCTTGCATATGTATGTATACAAATTCAATGAGAGGTGTGAGCTTGCTTTTGCCAGGTGATCTCATTTCTATTAGGTCTAATTTGAGACAGTCTCTTATCTCCTCATCAACACAAATTCCTGTTCACAACAATATGTCATGGAGAGCTGTAGAAGAACAGCCAATGCTCTTGAAAAGAAGCATGGATTATGACTGTATATCGGGGAAAAAGTTATTTTGATATTATATTATATTACACTGCAATGTTTATTTGATCATCCTTGAATCTTCCTGCCACACTTGCCATCCTCTCCTGCCACACCAGTGTGGTGCACCACACCCTTGGAGAACCACTGGTTCATCTCAGTGACTTGAACCATCAGAATGTGGTTCCAGAGATGTTCGGAACAAGCCTAAATCACACTTGTACTTTAATTTTTTTTTAAAATAATGTCAGCAGCAGGTCTTGGGGCATGTTGAGTATAATAAAGATCATATTAGATACTGGATCGTGACTGTCTCTGTTCCCCTTTTATAGAGGTCAGCAAACTTTTTCAGCAGGGGGCCAGTCCACTGTCCCCCAGACCTTGTGGGGTGCCAGACTATATTTTGGGAAAAAAATAAAAATGAACGAATTCCTATGCCTCACAAATAACCCAGAGATACATTTTAAATAAAAGGACACATTCCACTCATGTAAAAACATGCTGATTCCCGGACCATCTGCAGGCTGAATTTACAAGGTGATTGGGCTGGATCTGGCCCCTGGGCCTTACTTTGCCTACCCATGCCCTTTTAGATAGGATAGTATTGATTTGTGAGCCCTCCCTCAATGCACAGGGTTCGATTACATGATTTCTATATCTCCTTCCAGCCTTTCAGTTCTATGGTTATAATTAGGAAGGCCCTGGAAGCCATGTGTGCACATATGCACTAATTAGTCATACCCAGAACAACCTGTCATCAAATTGCCACCATAGTTGCTTCTGCTAAGTTTTTCTTTCCAACATGAGCAAGGAGTTCTGTGGTGATGCAATGAGAATGAAGCAACATTGTGAATCTTCCCACCTCGGCCACAATTTTTGAGTGCAAGTGGCTTTATAGCCAATAAGGAACAGAAAAAGTTGCCTTATAAGAAGTCAGTCCAATGGTCCGTCTAGCTCAGGAGTAGCTCTCCAGATCCCTCTCAGTCTTGGAGGATGGCCTAAAAATATATGATTGGGCACTAGTAGAAATTCATATTTTTATATCAGTTTTATGTTTACCATGCATACACACACAGTAAACATAAGGATATAGTTGGCAGGGGTTCCTACATACACCTGCAACAACCTCTTCTATATATAGATCAGTCAAGTGGCTACCTTTGGGTGCCAAATTGAATCCTACAAATTCCTTGACCACTGAGGAAGACATCTCGGGAGTCAAAACACATTTGATCTCCAGGTTTGCTTGTCACATCAGTTCGATGTATAGGTGTCATTTTTGAGAGATGCTATCTAGATCATTATAGATCTCACTGACTGGCAGTGGCTGTCCCAGGGTTCAGTCTGGGGTCTGTCTGAGCCCCGCCTGGAAAAGTCAGGCATGGAGCCTGCATGCAAAGCAGGTACTTCCCCCAGGCTGCAGAAGGGAAGAGAAGTGTGTTTGCATGTGTGCAAGCAAAAGGTTATGTTTGCTTTTGCCCCAGCTCCTCCCTATTTCAGCTTCACGTTCAGGGATTACACAAGTGTACCTTTGCATACACCTCAAGGAAGCAACATACTTCAGCTACAGATTCAGGGACTGCACATCTCAGCGAAGCAACATATGCAAATGAATTATTGTTCCTCCTTTTCTCTTGGAGAGGTGTTAACTAACCTAAGTCTTCAGGCGCTGCCTGTATCTCTACTAGCTGTGCCTCTGTTACCAACTCATTCCATGGCTTTGCATGAGTCAAGATTTCATGGCTTGGAACGTCCCAGCTACAATACAGGAAGTGGAATATCCTGTCTCACAGGGCTGTTGCTAGAGGGGTAAACAAGAGGGGGACAGTAAAGTAGGAGCAGATGGCTTGGTGGAGTGCCACACTCACCTGACCTCCCGTCAGCTGCATTGCTGCTGCTTACTGGGAGGGAGACGGGGGCGGGAGGGTGGTGCAGTGCCAGGGCACCAGCAGTAGCACACAACTGCAGTAAGATGTGTTGCACAGAAGGACTCAATGCATTTCCACACCCTGAAATGCCACAGAGCAGGCAAATGGTGAAAGGATTAATGCTGCAATCCTAACCCCACTTTCCTGGGAATAAGGCCCATTGAATTCAGTATAACTTACTTCTGAGCAGACATGGGTAAGACTTTGCTGTGAGTGCATGTAACTAAATACAGCCCTATAATGCTTTAACTACTACTACTACAATGTAATATGTTCTAAACTTGCTTTATTTAAAATATATTTACAGCACCAAATGGTTGGAGGCATGCTGTTGTCCATGAGATGTTGCTGTACTCCAGATTCCATCACTCCTACCTACTTGGCCATTGGGCAGGGACTATGGGAGTTGTAGTCCAAGAATAGGGTTGCTATACATCTGGTTTTTCCAAGACATATCCAGAATACTGCAGTTGGGTTAGTGCACGTCGGCAGTTCCATTTTTGCCATTGATCCTTAAAAATAGCTCAAAACTTAAAAAAAGCAAAAAACTTTTCTGTCCAAATGTTTGAAATATGGCAACCCTATCCAAGAAGCTCTGGAGGGCCTGTCTTTCACTCTCTTTCACAGAGAGATCTGTGCTGAAATGGAACAGGATGGACTCGCACATGGTGTCATGAACCAGAAATAGACTGATTTGTCCGTCCCTAGCTATTGTGCAGATTTAAAGTGGCAAGCCCACAATGTGGGGGATGGGACATTTTTCAGCTTGAGGGATACATTCCCTTCTGAGAAATATTCGGGATGTGTGTGCACATGCTACCAGTGGGTGCAGCCAGAAGCAAAAGTGGGATGAGCAATATATATATATATATATATATATATATATATATATGTGTGTGTGTGTGTGTGTGTGTGTAACCTTTGCATATTAGATTAGTTTCCAAGCAGTCACAAACCCCACACTATCCTCCATTCAGACAAACAAGAAGCATTTTCAGAGTTGAAGGACACATTCCAGCAAGGCAAAAACACTCAAGGATGGTATGAATCAAGGACAGTGAGGGGTGTAGTCTGGGGGGAGGGGGTGTGGCCAGGAGAGAGTCCTGTAGTCCAGATACAGTGGCCTCGATGACCACATTCAGTCCTGGGTTTGAGATTCCCCTACCCTTGGCCTACAGGAGGTTTGGTTTAATTGACAGCTCCCATCGCAACTCAGATTGCCTGGCCGTGCTGTGCCTTGCCATCAAAAGAGAGAGACGGAGGAGGGGGAGGAACGCTTCACACAGAAAGATTTCCTTTAAAAGCCCATCATTTGATGTCACTGTGTAGCTTCAGCTACTTCAGTGCGGCAGGCGCATTATAATGGCGCATGCCGTGCTTTAAATACCATTACGGCAGGTACGCCAACCCCTTTCCTGCTTTCTAGGCCACGGTGATGTGCCTTGAACATACTGCGGTCACTTTCAATGTGTTTTCCTTTTAAAAACGAATCTAACGAGAGAGGGAAAGAAATCAATTTGGGTTGCTAAAGTATGATGTGGATTTCCTCGTATGAGAGTACAGAGTGTAGTCTACTTAGCGAGATCAGCTCCGCCAGCAGGAAGGAGCAAGCAATGGAGAGGGAAGGAGGGAGGGGGGAAAATGTCTGGCAGGAGTTCAGAAAGCTCTCCAGCTCACACATCTGGTTCTTATATTTCAAAGTTAATTAGTCATATTGAGGCTGTCTGAAGATAAATTTATCATCCAGAAAAAACACAAACAGTTTGAAAAATGAAAGGAAGTGAGGTGACACGTCTTGACGTTTAAATAAATCATTTTAACATGATTAAAAAACTTGTCCTCTGTGACACCCGGAGCTTGGATACTTTGTAAAGACTTTTCTGACAAAGACACGTCCCTCTTTGGTATACAAAGCCCCTGCCATTCAATTATACAGAATAATCTTTGGCCAATTACTTTCCTGACTGACTACTGGCGGATACAATGCACAGCTGCCACATATATTTTTTTTGTTCATTGGGCCTAAAGCTGAACTGTACAGAAACTTGTAGAAGGAAGAGTTCAAGAAGACCTTTACATTTATTTTTATTTTTTTAGTGCAGAGGGTATCGAATACAAAAGGGAGGTTGAATGACTGTGTGTCCTATTGCAACTTGAGGTTAAAGAGCCTTAAAGGGTCTAGAGATTACATCAAGCGCTATGGCCTGCTTCTGATGTAATGACCTTTGTCCAATAAACTGTAGCTTCTTGGATCAGGAGCAAACTGGGCACCTAGATGCTTTCTCATTCCCTCTCACTCAGACCTTAACTCAGTGCTTCCTAGTTTGTTACACCACAGTTACCTATGGCATCTGAACTGGGAAACTGTGGTTTGCTCCTACAAAGCAGGATAGTACGGTAAATTGGAATCAAAATCAAGATTAGTATTCTGGTTTTTAGAGAGCACACAAACCAGTTTCCTAATCTGGATATTACAGGAAACTGTGGTTTAACAAACTACAAAGCTAAGCTATGGTTTGTTGCACCAGGATTGCTACATCTGAACTAGGGCTCTTATCCTTCAAGCTGGTCACAAAAGCCACTCACTTGCCTTAGGGCTAGTTCACACAACCCAGTTGACATGTTAGGAATGTGAGCAAGATGAATGAGTGCAGAGTTTGCTATGCATTGAAGGTGATCATGTAATTGTTCATGTGAACTTATGTCAATGTTTACATCCTTGAGAGGGTTCTGCATCCTTCAAAGAACACCTGCTTGATTTTGCTCAACCAAAAGGACTACACAAGGATGGGGAACCCGTGATGCTCCAGATGTTGCTGTACTCTAATTTCTAATTTCTATCCTGCCTCAGCCAGCGTGGTCAATGGTCAGGGATGATAGGAGTTGTAGTTCATCAACATCTGGTGGGTTGAGGGCTGAGTTATCCATCACTGTTCTACACATAAGAATGATCTTCTGGATCTTTTGCCAGAACACCATGACATCTACTGGTGGCTGCTCTCTCTTGGTGTGGAACTTGCATCATCCGTATGTCTGACAAAACCCAAGCTTGAAACAAAATGAAAAAAATCCTTCCAGTAGCACCTTAGAGACCAACTAAATTACCGTAGTTATTGGTATTGGTAAGTTAGTTATACCAATAACTAACTTAGTTGGTCTCTAAGGTGCTACTGGAAGGAATTTTTTTATTTTGTTTCGACTGCGACAGACTAACACGGCAACCTACCTGTAACTAAAACCCAAGCTTGTCTTCTGAGGGTGTTGAATGGTCAGGGGCAGCTAGCAGATTCTCTTAATGGTGGTTTTGTTTAAATATGATCTCTACCCCTCTATCATCTGCAGAGCAGAAATGCAGAGCAGAGGAACACTGTGGAGATAGCCACAGGCCATTTCCCACAGTCACACTTTCCAGAATGCCTTAGGGAACAGAACTGTGTGTCACGATGAAGCATCTCTCCCAAAGTGCAGTTTGTAGGAAGCAGCAGAATTTAATATGTACAGAAAGAAAATGGAAAACTTGTGGCCACTCTGTAAAGTTAAATAAAGTAGGTAAAAATCCCCTCTTGAACCTCTTGGAGACATTTCATTCACCAAAGGACTTTGTAGGGATGTTTTATTTCATCCTCACCTGCTCAAGAAACGGCTTGAAAACAAATGCTGGGAAATTTCAGCATAGCTCTAATACATATATTTATTACAGTGACTAACAAAGCAGATATGAAATTATTAGAGCAAAATGTTTTGATTTCTGCCTTCTTCCACTGCTCTGATGAATATGTGCTTGTACCATAGACCACTCTGGCTTTGAGGTTAGGACAGATATTTAAACTAACAAAGGAACAATGCATACGACTTTTCCAGACAAATAGGCAACATGACATGCTTGCACATGAACCTCCTCCTCAACAAGTCAATTTGGTTGCATGAGCCTCTGTGAGCCTGGCTTAAATTGTATCTACTCAGAATCAAGAGTGGAGGAGAAATTCAGCTTACTGAATTAGCACTTCACAAAACCGACATGTTAACAGAAACAAAAAGTCCAATAACATGTATAAAAATATGTATATTAGGGGAATTGCTTGCAAAAATGTGTGTGTTACTCAAGACTGCATACACAAAAGTGTATACTAGGAAAAATGAATGCTAAAATGCTGATTAACTTACATGAAGATTTTATTTTGTTTCTTGCCCCCCAAAAATGCTAGTTTCTCTGGAAATGTGGAGAGTTGAATTTAAGATTGGCAATATGAGAAACTGAGCGAAACTGAAATGGACGGATTCATCTCCTCAGGGGGGATCCCATCCCTATTGAAGTCAATGGGACTTACATCTGGGTAAGTGAGGTTAGGATTGTTGCCTTTGTCCTGGTTCAGCTGTCTGTTTCTTAAAATTCACAGCTGCTGTTCTCTTTCCCACAAAAAGAGAGAGAGAAAGAGAGATACGCTGTTTGTTCATTTGCATCCGTTGGCCTTTGCAAAATGTGCCATACTATCCAAGGACAGGGTGGGTGGGGAAAACCAAGCCAAAAGCCCCTATTCTCCAATTCCCCAGGAAGTGACCTGGTGGCGCCAGAATTAAAACAGAACGTCCCCCCACCCAGCACACACACACACACACACACACACACACACACACAGGGCACAAGGAGTTCATGGTAAACTAGTGAGAACACCAAATGACTAAGCCATTTCCATGTGGTTTGCTGCCATGCCCTGACAGAAAGCACATTTCGATACCATAAATTCTGGTTGTCACAGAACATTCCTCTTTCCAAATGGTAACATATCCAGACTTCCAGAATTCCCTGCAGACCAGCAATGTTTTGAGATCTGTTTCCCAACTATGAGAAATTCTAGTTTAAAACCGGGGGAGAGGGAGAGAAATAGGCAGAGCCTCTGTTTGTCTGCTTTGGATTTTACAGGTTCAGTAGGGAATGGAGTCCCTGCCACCAACTCCTGGCTCCTGTGCATTGTTTGCCGGGATCTGCCATCGTGTTTGTTTACTGGACAGTGGTCATTTGAATGTATCATCTCTGTATGTGTCCACACTAATAGCATATTTGTAGTGAGGAGTCTGCTGTGTTTCAGCAGCAGACATTTACCTTCTAATGCACGGAGAAGGTGGATCTAGGTGCCAGATCCTTGCTTTCCCTCCTCGTCCTGTGGGGAGAAGAACATCTGAAGAAGGCTTAGATGTTGCTGAGATCTCTAAACAGCCTTCTCTTGGCAGTGGTGGAGCTTCATGCTCCAGCACTGGGGGGCAAAGAGCTGGCAGGGGTGGGGATTGCGCGCATCCCGGGGGTGTGGCGCGCCGCCTGCAGGGGCATGGCACATTTCCTGGGGGCGTGACACACTGCCCACAGTAGCATGGTGCACGTCCTGGGAGCATGGCACACCACCTGCAGGGGCGTGGCGCCCAGCGCAGACGGGGGGGCAGCCACGATGGCACCCCACCGAGATCACGCTGCTGGGGGCAGTGCGCTCCCCCTCCACTCCTCTTCCTCCGCCAGTGTCTCTTGGTCTCTATATGTCAGAGGGACTGGGCAGCAGCAGGGCAGGCAGAAATCCAACCAGTATAATGTTACCTGGCTAGGGGATGCCACAGTGGGAAAGTGGTGAATTCTCCTTTGTTAGAAGTTATTAAACAGAGGCTGGGTGGCCACCTGCTAGATGTAGATGCTATAGCAGTGAATTTCTTCCATCAGGAGAGGGGATGGAATGGAAGACCTTTGAGGTCTCTTCCAACTCTATGAGTTGTATCCAAAGTAGTGCTACGTGAACATTGCATCAGCACAGGGATTTCTGCTTGTGCAATGGAACGTTCTCCCCATCTCCTCACCTGGAGTGCCCTTTAAGTATGTTATAGGGGCTCCCCCAACCCTCTGCAGCAGATGTGGGGAGGGTGTGGGGCCCGCAGAAGTGGGTAGGAGAAAGGGAAAATTCTGATGTTTAAATATAAATCCTTGGGCTAATGGAACAATTGGATTGGACACCTCAACATCAACTTCGTTGGACTGGTCATGTTGTGTGGATGCCTGATTATCGTCTTCCAAAGCAACTACTCTACTCCAAACTTAAAAATGGAAAGCGTAATGCTGGTGGTCAACAAAAGAGGTTTGAAGACTATCTCGAGGCAAATCTTTAAAAATGTAGTATAAACACCAACAACTGGGAAACACTGGCCTGCGAGCGCTCCAGTTGGAGAACAGCCTTTACCAAAGGTGTCATGGACTTTGAAGACACTCGAACTTAGAACGCAAGGAAGAAACGTGCTAAGAGGAAGGCACGCTTGGCAAATCCACATCGTGATAAACCCCCGCCCGGGAACCAATGTCCCCACTGTGAAAGGATGTGTGGGTCCAGAATTGGCCTCCACAGTCACTTACGACTCATTGTTAAAACCGTGTTTATGGAAGACAATCTTACTTGGCTACGACTGATCGCCAAAGAAGAAGAAGCTGTTAAAGGCACAGGACCTCTGCTAGGATAATAATGGCAGCTCTACTGTTGTGCCCTTTTGGTCACGTGGGAAGACTCTGGATCTCAATCAACAGCCAGTATTGCTGGGAACAGTTGAAAGGATGGCTAGGTGGCAGCAAAGCCTTTGTCCCCAGTGAGAACTGGAATTCTCACACATATTCGTTGGAGAGGATTTAGCAGGACTAGAATAAATTCTTTGCTTATGCAATGTTTCTTGGACAGAGGGTGATAATTCATCATCACAGAAAAGCAATGACTTCAGCTTTCAGTGGTTTGGAAGCCTTTTCTTCTCCCTAAAGCCTGCAACACAACTGAGTTCAAGCTGAGATTCAGGAAATTACCATATAAGGGGCTGCTTGCCTATGTATGCCAAATCTTGCATGGAAGGAATCCAGGACATTGCATTGGGGCTGCACAGTCTTATGAGCACCTTGAGAGGGATGTTGCTGAACCAGCACCCGCATTGGTACAAGCAACAAAATACGGTAAGCACATGAAATACAAAGTGCAAAATAAGGAGTGATGGGATATGCCCCAATGAGCCTTGTTTTCAGGTACACCCCTTATTTTCTGTCCCTATTCTAGGATGCCTTAAAAAGATGCTGTTAACATGTGTGTTCCTTTGCAGTACACAACAACACAAGAGTCTGTTGGATCAGGCCAATGGCCCACCTAGTCCAGCATCCTGTTCTCTGAGTCATCAACTGGATTCCTATAGGAAGCCCACAGGGACCTGAGCACAACACACTCTCCACACTTGTGTTATTGGCCATCACAGGTCCTGCTTGTAGGCAGCTGGTTATTGACCGTGAAGACTGGCTACTGGAGGAGGTGGACCTTTGGCTTGGTCCAGTGTCAGCAGCTCCCGACTGGTTGCCCAGGAAAGTATAAAGTTTCTTACCGTCCTTTTTTATTTCAATCTTTACAGAGAGAGGCTATAGAACCCAGCCTATTGGATAATGGTGTTGTCCCAAGTGAATCTCTACCCCAGTCTCTCCCACTTCCTCATTTGTTATTCTCATCATCTCCTCTAAAGAGCCAGCGTGGTGTAGTGGTTAAGAGCGGCAGACTCGTAATCTGGTGAACTGGGTTCGCATCCCTGCTCCTCCACATGCAGCTGCTGGGTGACCTTGGGCCAGTCACACTTCTCTGAAGTCTCTCAGCCTCACTCACTGCACAAAGTGTTTGTTGTGGGGAGGAAGGGAAAGGAGGTTGTCAGCCACTTTAAAACTCCTTAGGGTAGTGATAAAGCAGGATATCAAATCCAAACTCCTCCTCCTCCTCCTCCTCTTCTTCTTCTTCTCCTTCTCCTCCTCCTCCTCCTCTACGGGTGCTGCTACGCGCTCTCTGTCTTTGAGCTCTTTGCTCTCCTACTTTTAATGCTCGCTGGGTTCTGGAAGATGGAGGGTCTGGAATGCTTTCTAAAGACACTGTGTCAGCCAGCTGCTGCTCCGCTTCTGCCTCCTCCTCCTCTCCCATGATTTCCCAACTTTTCCCCTCCTCTGCCTCTGAGCTGTGACCTCCTGCAAACCACTGTTGTAAATCTATACTGTCTTCCTCTTCCTCCTCCTTGGGAGGGTCAGTCCCTGACATCCAGCAGCACTCTCCTTATGTTATTTAATATATTGTTAATGTACTTTTGGGTGGGGATGGGGACAAAACATTTGTGTAGAATTTCTAGGCTGCACTCACTTGCCT